CCCGCTCACGTGGCCCATTCCAGCTTCCGGTGTCGGATGGAGCCGTACAGAGCCTGGGAAAAGGAATTTGGGAATTTGGGAATTTGGGGAATTTGGGAATTTGGGAATTTGGGGAATTTCGGGATTGAAACAAAATTTGAGGAATTTTTAGGGTTTATAGAGGAATTTTTAGGATTTAATTTTTTGGAGATTTTTTAGGATATTTTTAAGGATTTTGGTGGATTTTTAGGGGTTTTTTTTAGGATTTTTGGGTCCCAGAATTTTGGGATTCTTTAGGATTTTTTTAGGATTTTTTGGAAATTTTTTTCTTTTTTTTTTAGTTTTCAGGGAATTTTTAGCATTTTTTTGTTTTAGGAATTTTTAGGCATTTTGAGGGTTTCTCACGATTTTTTAAAGGGATTCTTAGAGATGTTTTTTTTAGGATTTTTGGGGTAAAATTTCCAATTCTCCCAAAATTTTAGGATTTTTTTCAGGAATTTCGAGGGGTTTTGATGATTTTTAAAGGGATTTTTACCGGGTTTTTTAGGATTTTTGGGGTAAAATTTCCAATTTCCCCAAAAGTTTAAGATTTTTTTAGACATTTTTAGGGGATTTTATGATTTTTAAAGGGATTTTTAGAGATTTTTCAGGATTTTTGGGGTAAAATCCCAATTTCCCCAAAACGTTTGGATTTTTGGGGGATTTTTTCCGCGCAGAATTCTCATTTTTCCGCCGTTTCTCGCGGGGTTTTTTTCCCCTTTTCCCGTTTTTCGGGGGGTCGCTGCCGGGGGTGGGGATTTGGGGTTTTTTTTGGGGGGATTTTGGGGATTTTGGGGATTTTGGTACCTTGAGCTGCTGGCGGGGGAAGTCGCGGCCGTCCATCAGCCCGGCCAGGTTGGCCACGAACTGGGAGCAGCTCATGGGGCGGCCGAGGCGCTGCAGAATTGGGGCAAAATCCGCCCAAATCGGGCAAAAATCCCAAATTCCGGCCAGAAAGAGAACAAACTCCCCAACCCAGCCCAAATCCCACCCAAATCGGGCAAAAAACGGGAAAAAAATCCCAAATTCCGGCCAGAAAGAACAAACTCCCCAACCCAGCCCAAATCCCACCCAAATCGGGCAAAAAACGGGGAAAAATCCCAAATTCCGGCCAGAAAGAGAACAAACTCCCCAACCCACCCCAAATCCCACCCAAATCGGGCAAAAAACGGGGAAAAATCCCAAATTCCAGCCAAAAAACGGGAAAAAAATCCCAAACCCAGCCCAAATCCGACCCAAATCGGCCAAAAAACGGGCAAAAATCCCAAATTCCAGCCAGAAAGAGAACAAACTCCCCAACCCAGCCCAAATCCCACCCAAATCGGACAAAAAACGGGAAAAATCCCAAATTCTGGCCAAAAAATGGGAAAAAAATCCCAAATTCCGGCCAAAAATCCGACCCAAATCGGCCAAAAAATGGGAAAAAAATACCAAATTCCGGCCAAAAAACGGGGAAAAAATCCCAAACCCAGCCCAAATCCAACCCAAATTGGGCAAAAAACGGGAAAAAATCCCAAATTCCGGCCAAAAAGCGGGAAAAAAATCCCAAATTCCAGCCAAAAAACGGGGAAAAATCCCAAATTCCAGCCAAAAAACAGGAAAAAAATCCCAAATTCCGGCCAAAAAACGGGGAAATAATCCCAAATTCCGGCCAAAAATCCAACCAAAATCAGCCAAAAAATGGGAAAAAAATCCCAAATTCCGGCCAAAAATAGAAAAAAATCCCAAACCCACCCCAAATCCCACCCAAATCGGCCAAAAAATGGGGAAAAATCCCAAATTCCAGCCAAAAAATGGGAAAAAAATCCCAAACTCACCCCAAATCTGACCCAAATTGGCCAAAAAACGGGAAAATAATCCCAAATTCCGGCCAAAAATAGAAAAAAATCCCAAATCCAACCCAAATCCAACCCAAATCAGCCAAAAAAGGAAAAAAAATTCCCAAATTCCAGCCAGAAATAGAAAAAAATCCCAAATCCGACTCAAAAATAAAACCAAATCCCAAATGCACCCCAAAATCCACCCCAGAAATAGAAAAAAATTCCAAAATTTTGGGATTTTTTGGGGGGTTTCTTGGATTTTTTTGGGGGAATTTTGGGTACTCACCTGGTCGTGAGCTCAGTTGGATTTGGGGATTTTTTGGGGGGGATTTTTTGGGGGTTTTTTTGGGATTTTTTGGGGTTTTTTTGGGGTTTTTAGGTACTCACCTGGTCGTGAGCTCAGTTGGATTTGGGGATTTTTTGGGGGGGATATTTTTGGGATTTTTTGGGAGGTTTTTTGGGATTTTTTTGGGATTTTTTGGGGTTTTTGGTACTCACGGGGCCGTGCAGGTCGGTGTTGAGCAGCATCAGGGCACAGGTGAGGGTGTGAACAGAGTCTGGGATTTGGGGGTTTGGGATTTGGGATTTGGGGTTTGGGATTTGGGATTTGGGTTTGGGGTTTGGGATTTGGGGGTTTGGGATTTGGG